AACACTCGTAAAATAGAGAGTGATATATGTGTGAGTATTGTTAGAAAGGGAAATGACGTCATTAAGTCAGAGACATACAGTGTAGGTTTTCCCTCCAACAAATTAGACCCTCACACGCAACTACCAAGAATACATGGTTTCATTATATCCCCGCTTGAAAAAGCGGGAGGGTATATAGTAATCGGTATGTCCGTCCGTCCGTCTGTCTGTTATGCTTTGGGGTACCCATCTCTTATCCGCAACTCCTCATACCACTGAATGAAATTTGATGAAACTTTCACAGAAGCTTTATTACATATTGCCATCGTGACCTCCTATTTCACTTTTTGATCTGACACATATTTTGGATTTCCCACAACAAAACATGGACACTCCCGTTATATTCATATGGGAGACGGGGGTATCATTTAGTAAGGTCATTGCTCACAATACCTCTAGTTTATTTAGAAAAGCCAAACAAGTATCTAAAGCTTATACACAAGTTATAAATTAAGTCCCTTCATTTAAGCAAAACCTGGTGACATGCCTCCTCCAACGGGTTTGTGAAAAAATGCCTCACTTGGCACAACTTCCATTTACCCCAAGCGATTTTTACGTCGACTTATTGTCGTGTACAGACAAATGATTAGAGCACGGAACGTCTAATTTAGTTGTTTTTTTTTTCACAAGATCCACGGAGTAATGCGCAGCGAGGATCGATTGTCGACAAATTTCTCCCATACAACATTTATTTCATGTCACGAACATGGGGCCATCACAGATTTTCCAGTGGTTCAACAAGTGCCGCGACTCTGGTTTGACAAACCGTTTTCAAGAAGGAAATAAATTCCGTTAATATCCGCACAGGATTAATTCACAGCCCCATCAAAGGACAAGTAGCCGATTCTATATATCGGTTGGTAATCGGTCAAAGCCCGTTTTTTACTGAACCTTAAGGAACAAGGTTCTGTCTTTTTATCTCTAACTAATCATTCCAATAATAAGAGATAAAATGACAATTTTTATTTTTGTGCTGGCAATCACAGAAAACGGCGCAAAAACTTATCCTCGTGCGATAATGTTGCAAAACGTGACATTTAATGTCAGTACAGAGGTGTTTGTTGCGTGAGCACTTTTTCCCCTCAGACCAATGTGCGTATTATTATGTGAAGTGCATTATTGTTTTTGTTAAGGCGAACATTAATCGGACAATTCACGTGACCTAGAGAAGAAAATGCACGGACCAATAGGGACAAAAAGGTGGTGGGTGGGATGAGGGGGGGTATGAAGGGTGATCCCACCCGCTAAGTCAGATTTGTTTTCATGATTGAGTGTACTTTGGTGGGTGTTGTTAAAATAAACAAAAATTTAGATTTTTCCCCATACTTGTTGACGGGATGGGAAAATTCTGAAACAAAAAGGATAAAAAAAATATCGTGTACTGGAATGTAAAAAAAAAACGTCTTGAGTAGGGCCTTTTTATGGTGGCTTATTTATGCCATCCACATAATTTTTTGTCAACATAACATATCATGTCATGTCAAGTCAAGATAACTATCTCGTCAAATGAAAAATTAAAAAATTCACCACATTTTGTTGCATTTGTTAAATTATCTCTTTTATTTTGACCATCGGGATAATATATTGACTAAAAAAAAAAAACCTGAAAGTTTTGAGTACACTGTGATATGTTATGTTGACAAAAAATTATGTGGATGGCATAAATATGCCACCATACCATTTTTAGCCAGTCTGTCGGGAGAGTGTTATTAATCTACCAGAGAAAGAGATTGTTTCCTTGTATAACATTCTTAATTCCCTTGATCGATCTTTCAGTTTCGGGGAAATATTTTTAATGGGTTAATGTTTATTTGATATTTAAATTTCTTATACTGCAGTGGTTACCTCTATTACAAAGTAATGAAAAAATGCATTTAATCTGACGGTACACCCAGGGTTGTCTTTTTTTAATTTTCACTATATTTCTCTTGGGGGGGGTTATAATGTTCAAATCTACAAAAAAGAAGTATTGGTTCTTAGTTTGAAGTTTCATTCAGAATTTCATTCATTCTCAGGAGTATTCAGTTTAAGTTTTCTTTTAGAGAATGACCTTGTACGGTATTTTTTTAATATTGTACAAGGTCATTCTCTGAACGTAAGAAAAGATCCAGTTGAACATATGAACATAAAAGATCCAGTCTGCTCTCACAGAACGATATATGAACGTGATTGACTGGGAAATTTTATGTTTTCGAGAAATTATACAATGTAGGCTCTTACAATTTTTAAAATTAAAGTTGGAGGCGGGGGAGGGGAGGGGGTATCGGTCCACACTTAAGACGCCTGTGGTGTTAATTAATGATGTCTGAGGGATTTTTAAGTTATTATTAACAAATTAAAAAATCATGAATTGACTCAAATAAACCAAAGAAAAGTATATAAATATTAGTGTAAATATATGTAAAGTAGAACTAAAAGTCATACCATATATATGATGGTAATGATCTAAAATCGTACATCTTCACACATTTATATCACAGGCACTTAATTCGGAAATAAACTTTTAACCCTTAGTATAATAATAACATTATACTTTGGATTAAAAACACTAAACTTTGTGTTAACTTTTTTTTCTGAAACAAGTGCCTGTGATTGATATACTGAAAAAAAATAGTGTGGCTTATGTGCAGTGCAAATAGTTTTAATTAATTGGTTAATTAATACAGTTAGATAACAACCTGCAGCTCAATACAGGTGTAAAATGTGGAGCATTAACCTAAATGTAAAAGTTGTCAAAAGTGTGCATGATGCATGATTGTACTGGTTGTATAGACAAGTCGGTCATAAGATCTAGAAAGTGTCAATTTTATACATGTCTTACATAGACTACAAATTAAAGGGGTCTTTTAGTACACACCTGTATTTTTTTTTTATTTAGGTGGAGTAAGTGGTTGGTAAGGGTGTTCTGAGGTTTTTTTTTTTCAAAGCATGAAATCTACGATAAATTGGCCAGTACATCTACCTATATTCTTATACACTGTAAACTCCCCCTCCCATGTTGTGGTCTTCATAATCACCTGCATGAACACCACCTGCATTTTTTTGCTACGAGTTTCTAACTTTAAACCTATTATGTTTTTTTTTCTTTTTTTGTTTATATTTTGTATAATTATTCTTCTTTTTCTATCCATTTGTTAAATTATACTTTTTCTATTCATTTGTTTTACTCTCTCTCTCTTCCTCTCTCTCTCTCTGAATTCATTCTAAATATGTACCAATTAATAATCTAAGCTTCATACATTTTTTTCAGTGTTTACATGTACTTGTAATTGTACCTTGACCTATGGAGAGAACGATCATAGGCATTTATGCCTGCTGTTCAATCCATTTCTTAATGAATAAAATATATTTTAAAATAAACTAACTTTAAACCATAGAAATGTATGGAATATCGATCTATTGCATTCTTAAACAAATCTTATATGCGGAAGTTCATACGTGGCGAGATATTGATTAAAAAAATTCTAATAATTCTATTTATAGTTACAAAGTGGGCAGCATTTCTTTCATTTTTTTCATTTAAAGTTTGTAATCGAAGGATATGTACACATACATTTAAAAAAAAAAAAATCGAAACGTATTTAGCGTATATGGAAAATGGCTGAATTAATTATTATTAAGAGAGAACCTGATCAAAAACTCATAAAGGTAGACTCACTTAGCTCAAAATAGGCAAGCATTTAGAAAAATGCAAAGAAACCATTAAAAATTCAAAAGACTGTAATTCATACACACATGCAGCTCAGTATCTGCAAAGAATTTAGAGAAAAAAGTGCGGAAAACCAATACAAGTGGGACAGACAGACAGACGGAGTGATTACTGGATATACACGTACTGGGGTAAATTAAATTATTTTGCGCCTTAGTCTGACTATTTGTTCATTTTGCATTAGGAGTAAAAATATGCCACCCCCCCCCCCCTCTTTAAGTAAATTTTGTTCGTCGTAAATAATATTTACGCGCTCCTTAAGAAAAATAAAGAAAACCTCTTCAATAGGCCTAGTTAGTCTATTTCTCTCAAAAATAAATAAATAAATTTTAAAAATTGGTTACTATTTTTATATATAAATGCATGTCAGTATCAGTACGTGAAAAAAATAATACGATGCTACTGTTTTGTAGATACATGTATGTATAGAAAAAAAATGTGTGAAAAAAGGTTATTTGTCCAGGTAGAATAATTACTTCATTCCTACAGTCATTATCATGGTTGAGATATAGAAAAAGGGTGATAATGCTAATGTGGAAAAAATACGAAACATACGAAACGTTTCATATAGCATTATTTTTCTCAATTATTTATTCTATTTCATCAAAGCATTCTTTTTCCTTAATTTCTTTTTTCCTTTTTTCAATACATAATTGGAAATAACAACATGTAAATTGAAATAATTAAATAAAATTCTTTTTTTGAAAATAGAATTTTGCCGAAATATCATAGAATACTAAAAAGAAAACGTATCGACTATATGTGCTCGTGCCCCCGAATGAAAAAAGTCTGATGACTTTTTTCTCAATGAATTTAAGGAATTTTTAGTACATGTAGTTGATAATGCCATCATACTGTATGCCCCCCCCCCCCTAAAAAAAACTAAATTGCTTCCTACGGGCTTGAACTAGTAGATGCATGCGGACATTTACCATCTTTTTTTTTGGCAAATTATTCTTTTGGAGATCTATATATACCACTGTTTTATTTCATAGAATCACGCGGTTAAAAAAAATAATAATAGAACTTTGACGATCCCATGTGAATTTATACAGGGAAAAATTCAAATTACACAAACTAGTCTACAGTTTTGGTATCGATTTTATTCTAAATCGGCAAAACTGTAAATGCCCATTGATTTCTACGCTTATGAATTGAGTTCCAGCCGATAAATTAAGATTTTACATTGATAAAAAAAAAGAATGTTGTGCAGACTGGCAGGAAAAAAAGATTCCTAACTCTTGACTGTGACGTAAGAGCGGGTACCTGTTTTGGGGAAAACGTGACGTATCGCCTTGTGTACACATAACGACCACGCAGAGTGATAAGTCAATCGATTGAGATTCCACTTTACGACAATTTCGATTTGTGACGTCATGGATGCTGGGATGAATATTCAATACCGAGTCTGCCATTTTGGATCCATAATAGGAAAAAGCGAGTTGACCATATTGTAAAATTCTTCACCCTTTTCACGACCTTTTCGGGTTCCTGGACTGATCATAACCATGAGAGAGTGATGAGGACCGAACTGTGGGGAATTTGGGGGATCGTCTTGGGCCTAATTTTGCCCGGGAACAGCTTTAGTTACGGCTATCCCCAAGATTCAGTGTATCCATTAGGAACTGTTGGTATGTATGTCATATTAAGCAGTGATTTATTTTATCTGATATATAAACCATAAAGCCGAGTGATGCGCCAGTAAGGTGTATTTTTTATTTGAGATAAGGGTGTTCTTGATCGCGCACCTGTTGAGTGAAGATAATCGGGGAAAATGTCAAAAGACCCTGCAGTATGTTGTACCAATATTGACATGATGAAGCCATATTTAAGTAAAATTCTTCTGTTTGTAAAAGAAATATGTGCACAATACAGAGGAAAGAATAGGGAAATGTTTGAAATTACATTAAAAATGTTCAAATACAGCAAGAATTTCTGAAATAATTTCATTTATGCCAGTATATAATCATTATACTGTTGTACATATATGAAATACAATTATATGCCATTATTATGGTATTCACTTAAACTTAATTGTTCAAAAACCATAGCTAATTGTTGTTGCATGACTATGATTAGATTCTATTGAATAAAATTTAAGGAAATAAAATTCTGAGAAATGATTATTGATATTAATGTAATGAATGGATATTATAGTGCCTCATTTGCTTCTCAGAGTCTAAATTCTCTTCTATACCCCTAATATATTGACCCATTTTTACACACACACACACAAAAAAAAAAAATAAATTCAAACTTAATTTAATATAGTTTGGCTTTTGAATTGAAAATTATTTTCAATTGAAATGGAAAAGCATTAGAGTGTAACAGGAAAGGAGAAAATGCATGGCTGGACCGGTCGATGGGACCCCTGTATCTCTAGTCAGGTGCTCTACCAACTGAGCTATCCAGGCCGATATCCACGGCCCAAACCATTACATTTCTCCCTCCTTAAATGGTCTTCGCCCTCGAAGACACAACCCAAGTTCTTATTAGCCCCTGGCAGGACTTTCACCTGCAATTCCAGGGGTGGTCAACGGCACCAAATCTGTAACAGGAAAGGAGAAAATGCATGGCTGGACCGGGAATCGAACCCGAGACCCCTGTATCACTAGTCAGGTGCTCTACCAACTGAGCTATCCAGGCCGATATCCACAGCCCTAACCATTACAAGAGTCACAATTGTCAGTCATTAAAAGGTGTGTGAATGAAAGCCTGCAATTTTTTGTTTCAACTTTTTGGGGGAAAATGGATAAATTTTGATGAAAAATACAAAAAAAGCATATAACTGTACAAAGAAAGAAGATTTGATGAAAGAGAATTCTGAAAGATTGGAGAGAACTGAGAAAAGCACCCCTCTCCATACACTTATTCATAAGGACAAAACACTACTTAGATCAAATTCATAATAATTTTTACAACCTGGTTCTGCAAAGGTGACATGTATACCACGGCCATTTTAAATCTCAAAAATCTAGCTGTCCAATAACCCACTTTTAATAAATGGCCTTTAGCTATTTTATATGATGATTGCTTCCATTGGAGACAAATCAATGAAAAATTAATTGATGAAACACCATTTGGTCCCACACAGACTGGTTAGTTCTATCATCTATAGATGTATCTCTCTGGTTGTTGGAGACAGTAATTCAGATGGAATCTGTGTTCTACCAAGGTCCATTGATCTTTGTACAGTTTGAAGTTATAATTTCAATCCTTGTTTTTTTCTCTTGATCATATATGGACAGTTTAAATATTTTGCCCTGGTCCATTGGATGAGCCCCCCCCTCCCTAAAACCGAGGTCCTGTGTAACCTTGAAGTTGGAACAAAATAACTACTGAACTCTTCAGTAGCTCTTTGGTCTGAAAAAAGGGGGATTAACCACCAGAAAACTACATTGCCATCGATAAAAATAAATACATGTATATTTATTGCCCACAAAAGAATGCACTATTTCTTGATTTGAATGATTTCATTTCAGTGTACAGTTAAACTTGAATATCTCAGGTATCTTGAACAATATCTTGAAGAAGTTGAATATCAAGGATTTTTCCCAAGCGAATTGGCAGTCTAGCCATTGATTCTTTTTGCTTGAATTGTTAACCTGGTTATTTTGAATCATCAGTTACCTCAAAAAGTTTGTAATCTAAATGGTCCCTTCAAGTTCACATCCTGACAATGCCAGGCCTAGGGTAGCTTTAATTTGATTGGTGCTTCTCAGTGAGGGAAGGAAGCCCTAAAATATTTAATGAAATATGCCAGGGGTCCACCGGCAACATGTTGACTCAGGACCCCTGGCATTGTGACGAAGTTCAATGTGGAGAAGAGTCCTTCAGATATCGATCAGACAGTATAAACTTAGGTACCTTGTGAAAGAAAGTGGTGGCACGAAAAAAATCCCTCACTGCTCCAAGTCCCTAAAGTGCCAAGACCAGGGTAGAAGGTATAAATTTTCAGCCCTCCACATACTAATGGCACATGTACATTGGCTTCTTGATTTGAGAGAAAAATTCTCAAAGGGAGTTTTATATAAACATGATAAACAAACTAACAGATTTCAAGAAAGTTGTAGTGTGGGAAATGTATTGATGAGGTTTTTCTCTTCTTGCAATACTATTCCATTTGATAATCAATAACTTTGCTGTTCAAAATCTTTATAATTCAGGCATGAAATAGGGTTTAATTGAACACACTGGGAATTTGGAACACTATGAATCAAAGATCTGAGCTTCTAGGAAAACTTTTTGCCATCATTGCCTTAAATGTACAGAGTTATTGAGATCAAAAGCACTTCTGGAATTTTGGAACACTATGAATCAAAGATCTGAGCTTCTAGGAAAACTTGTTGCCATCATTGCCTTAAATGTACAGAGTTATTGAGATCAAAAGCACTTCTGGAATTTTGGAACACTGTGAATCAAAGATCTGAGCTTCTAGGCCTTAAATGTACAGAGTTATTGAGGTCAAAAGCACTTCTGGAATTTTGGAACACTGTGAATCAAAGATCTGAGCTTCTAGGAAAACTTTTTGCCATCATTGCCTTAAATGTCAGGGCTCTCGATTCTCTAAATCTGGGGCTGATATTCGGTCCCGTTCCCAATGCAAAAAAGGTACCTTTTTTCCCAAAAGAAAGGTGTAAATTTCCCAATTTCCATAGCAAAATATTAATTAAAAAATAAAAGTCCATGAAACTTAATCGCAAAAAAAAAAAAAAAACAACAAACAAAACACATTTGCAAATGAAAGTGAAACCGTACCACTATTTTATTAGTTCGCACCAAATGCATTCGTAAACTGGTTCGGGGAACCAGGTTATTGTTAGCTCACCTGAGCCGAAGGCTCAAGTGAGCTTTTCTGATCACATTTTGTCCGGCGTCCGTCTGTCCGTCTGTCTGTCCGTCTGTCCGTCTAGCTGTCTGTCAGTCTGTCTGTCTGTAAACTTTTCACATTTTCGACTTCTTCTCAAGAACCGCTGGGCCAATTTCAACCAAACTTGCCACAAAGTATCCTTGGGTGAAGGGGATTCAAGTTTGTTCAAATGAAGGGCCACGCCCTCATTCAAGGGGAGATGTTGGGAATTAATGAAAATTTGGTTGCATGTTTTAAAAATCTTCTTCTCAAGAACCACTGTGCCAGGAAAGATGAAACTTATGGGGTAACATCCTCAGGTAGTGTAGATTTAAGTTTGTTCAAATCATGACCCCCGGGGGTAGGGCGGGGCCAAAATGGCCGACCAAAGTTTTACATAGAAATATATAGGAAAATTCTTTAAAAATCTTCTTCTCAAGAACCACTGTGCCAGGAAAGATGAAACTTATGGGGTAACATCCTCAGGTAGTGTAGATTGAAGTTTGTTCAAATCATGACCCCCAGGGGTAGGGCGGGGCCAAAATGGCCGACCAAAGTTTTACATAGAAATATATAGGAAAATTCTTTAAAAATCTTCTCCTCAAGAACCACTGTGCCAGGAAAGATGAAACTTATGGGGTAACATCCTCAGGTAGTGTAGATTGAAGTTTGTTCAAATCATGACCCCCAGGGGTAGGGCGGGGCCAAAATGGCCGATCAAAGTTTTACATAGAAATATATAGGAAAATTCTTTAAAAATCTTCTTCTCAAGAATGACAGAGCCATAATTCATCAAATTTATATGGAAGCATCCTCAGGTAGTGAAGATTCAAGTTTGTTCAAATCATGACCCCCGGGGGTAGGGCGGGGCCAAAATGGCCGACCAAAGTTTTACATAGAAATATATAGGAAAATTCTTTAAAAATTTTCTTCTCAAGAATGACAGAGCCATAATTCATCAAATTTATATGGAAGCATCCTTAGGTAGTGAAGATTCAAGTTTGTTCAAATCATGACCCCCGGGGGTAGGGCGGGGCCAAAATGGCCGACCAAAGTTTTACATAGAAATATATAGGAAAATTCTTTAAAAATTTTCTTCTCAAGAATGACAGAGCCATAATTCATCAAATTTATATGGAAGCATCCTCAGGTAGTGAAGATTCAAGTTTGTTCAAATCATGACCCCCGGGGGTAGGGCGGGGCCAAAATGGCCGACCAAAGTTTTACATAGAAATATATAGGAAAATTCTTTAAAAATTTTCTTCTCAAGAATGACAGAGCCATAATTCATCAAATTTATATGGAAGCATCCTTAGGTAGTGAAGATTCAAGTTTGTTCAAATCATGACCCCCGGGGGTAGGGCGGGGCCAAAATGGCCGACCAAAGTTTTACATAGAAATATATAGGAAAATTCTTTAAAAATCTTCTTCTCAAGAATGACAGAGCCATAATTCATCAAATTTATATGGAAGCATCCTCAGGTAGTGAAGATTCAAGTTTGTTCAAATCATGACCCCCGGGGGTAGGGCGGGGCCAAAATGGCCGACCAAAGTTTTACATAGAAATATATAGGAAAATTCTTTAAAAATCTTCTTCTCAAGAATGACAAAGCCATGATTCATCAAATTTATATGGAAGTATCCTCAGGTAGTGAAGATTCAAGTTTGTTCAAATCATGACCCCCGGGGGTAGGGCGGGGCCAAAATGGCCGACCAAAGTTTTACATAGAAATTAATGGGAAAATTCTTTAAAAGTCTTCTCAAGAATGACAAAGCCATTAT